TGAGTCCCTTGGTGGCAGAGCTCCGACCCCGCCTCACTGTGGGGGGGACATGCCCCTCTTCTTGTTGAAGGCTGGTGCTCTTCGGCGCCTTTACCAGCCGGGGAAGAAGTTGGTCGAGCTTTGGAATCGCACCGCAATGGGCGTGGAGAAATTGGAGCGCTTGGCAAAGTCCGATTTGGTGGCCGAAGGTTGCATCTTTCCGCTTGACGGCGGTGCGCCCGTCGTTCCTCAGGCTGGGGTGCCACATGATGGTCGCTCTGGCGCTGCATCTGCCCTTTGCTCGCCACCTCTTTCTGTGGCTCAATCGCGCGGCGAGGTCGCCATGCCTCGTTTGCATGCATGCAGGCCTTGCGAATGCAATTCCGTTGGCCCCCAATGCAGCGCCGTCGCGGATGCCAAGGGCACCTGCTCAGCGCGATTCGGACTCCAACGACTCAGACATGGCAGACTCTGGCTGGCGTTCTTCCCCGCCTGCATCTACGCAAAGCGATTTCCAATCGGGCGACACAGCGATCCTCCGCGAAGTCGACGATTCTGGCGGGGAGCAGTTTGTGACGGTGCTGGTCACGGGTGTGGGAGCGCGCGGGGGGACGATCCCCGGAGATTCGCAGGAAAGAACGGACACACTTTGGGTGGAGGTGACCGACGGGCAGACCAACAAGCTTGTTGCAGCCTCCACGCTGCAACGCATTGAGGTACCCGCAGCGCTGATCGAGCGGCTGCAATCCCATGCTGCTGCAGAGCCTTCTGCCCCTTCTCCGACATCCCAGCCAACGGCCGCTACGCCTTGGGCTTAGCTCTCACCCGCCGGGCTTTGCGCAGCGGAGGCACGGGTGATCCCCATCCCACAGGCTGCCGTGCCTCACCTGGTAGGACGCGGTGGTCATTCGATCGCGAAATTGGAGCAATCTTTCGGTTTGATTGTGGGTGTGTCAGACGAGGCGGGCGAGGGCGCGAGCGTGACATTGTTCGGTCCTGAATCTCGACTTGGGTGCACGGAGGCTGTAGTGCAATGTGTGGCGGGGGGTGGCAGCTCACTCCTTCGCCACCTTCCATCCATTTTTGCATGGTAATCTCTGGGGCTCCGTCATGGTTCTGGTATGGCAGGGTCGCTACGGTTTAGTATCATGGGCTGGTTTTATTCGAGCAGCTGAGTGCAATATGGCCTTCTCTTTTCCGGCTCAGTCTGACCATTCTGTGCGGCTCGTATTGCTTGGTATGGCTCTGGATTTCATTGGTTTTAGGCTTGGGACCTTTTGTTTTTGTGTGGATTGCATTGGGGTGATCGATTTACACGAGAAATGGCTAAATTCCAAAGAGTGTGATACATAGAATCTGCGCAATCTGGTTTGGAAACATTGCGGCCGATTGGGAGCTTTTCTGAGCTTAGTGAGTGACCGCATTTGCGTAGAAGCAGTGAACGAAAAATAACCCATCACTCTGATTCTTGGCTTGCAGATATTTTCTCTTGCTTTTGTGGGGGAGTTTCCTGGGGTTCGCTGGCAGCTGTGGCCACCATTAGAGGCGTGCTTTCGGATATAGAATTGGGCCTGGACGTGCCCCTCGCACACTGGATGGTACGCTACATTGATCGCTGCCGTGACGTCATGTCGATGCATCCATGTAAGGAAGAAACAAACGCCCACCGTCCAAGGTGGAGAGGGCCGGCTGACCTCCAACAGCCGAGCTGCAGGGCAGGGCGACCCCAACGCCTCCGGAAACCAGTAGCTGCCGACGGAGCCGCAATATTTTCGCTCACCCAACACTAATAGACCCTTCTTATCATAAAAGCATCCTAAGATGGTTCTCTGTAGACCTTTGGAAGAGGGTGAACAATGCGGATGTCTGTTGTTTGCTGTGGAAGGACCCACACGTAAAGAAGCATGATACAGTGGCTGTGTAGTGCTTGTTGATGTGCAGTGGCACTCAACCAATGCATTTACTTCTGCACATATAGCACAAGTAGAAAAAGAATAACATAAAACTTTATGTTGGCTTTCAGCAGATATTGGATTTTAAGAAGAAAGGCTTGAGGCAAAGGCGCAGCGAATTTTTGGATATCTCCATTTTAGATGGTACAAGAGCTAGTTGCAGCTGCAAAGTTTGAGCGCATTTCTTTTGATAGCCATAGCAGGGCTTCAAGCGACGTTTCTGACCCCTGGGAATCAAACCTGTTGCACGAAAGTCTTCTAGCTGAAAGGAGGCAACTTATTGAATGTAACGACAAGACATCAGTGAGACTATGTGCCCATGGGTTTCTAGATGTAGATATATATGCCACCATACTTTAAATATTTGGTTTTGCCCTACGATAATAAAACTAGGTAGGTTGTGCTGATTTCCTCTACACCGTATTTCTGTTTTGGGCCTTCCATGCACGAAATTAGGTAGCACATTTCTGAAATATAATGCAGTGGCCATGCTAACCGGCGTGGGTATTGTATACATCACATATTTTGGCAAGGCCTTGGCTGGTTACTGCCTAGAACACTCTTGCCCACAGCTGCACTCAGGCTTAGGAGTGCCAAGATGCTTACTTGCGGTATAACGAACTACTCATCAATGAAGCATGTCTTCAAGCATCCGCCCCCTAAGGGAAGAAGCCGTTTATATTGAGCGCTCACAGAACTCCATGAGCTCTGAGAAGAGGGAAGGGGGGGCGACCGACCATGGAAGCTAATATTTTACTTGGTATCTCCGGAATTAAAGTTGAAAACCCTGTTAAGCTAAAAGTCGCATTTGTATCATGTACTTAATTTTTGTCGAAATCCGGAGAGAGCACCCCCTTATAATGTTGTAATTGAATTCAAAATCGTGTCATGAACGGCAAGTACCACAAGTTTGGTAGTACGTCAAGCCCGACCGATTGCAGACGAGAATGTGGACTTCCACTGTTCGCCAACCACAACAATGAATAGTTTGAGGAATTCGGCAAGATTCCGTGCAAGACAAGGGTGCCTTGCCGTGGACTCCGCGGCAGCAGAAAATGGGATTGCCAACAGCGCTTGGACTCCAGCCCAGCCATAGTTGTCGATAGCGATGGATTGCCAGTCGAAAGGGTGCTTGGTCATGTTTCTCTCCATTGCAAATTTGCACAGATCCACGACACCCCATGTACTGACGCCTCGACTGATCAGGGGTCTGCCATCACAAATATGCTTCCTGGTGTCTTGTGTGAGCATAATACAACAGCCGCATGTGTCTAGCGCCCTCTGCTTATTGTGGGTCTCCAGTAAATATCCCACCTATTGCGTGAAAATCCTCCACTCAGAACCACATGAGTCCAGCTAAACACAGCCATGAAATAATGGGCACTTTCTTGAAAATAGTGCAGATGGCTTGGAAGCCTTTCACGTCCATGGACGGCGGACTGCCCGAACACTCCCTTGTGCCCCACAGCCAGCGAAGGGGACTGTCGGTCATTTATTGCCCAGGCAGCACAGGCTCTATGTACGCGGCTGGGCTTTTATGCCTGTGTTTACGTATTTTTTGCGCCTGTCTATGTATAAAATTGTAAATAAAAATTTTCACGCACAAAAGTAAATGCGATCTTTGCTGACATCACAAATGCCAAGCCTAACAGAAGGTAACTCCATGCAATTGACACCACACACCGGCAGAGGCAAGGCGACCTGGTTGGGAGCCCATGTTGAAGATTGGTTGACAAGAGCGTGGAATCATTTATTGCGATCAAATCAGTAATGGGACTGCCTCAGCCCAGGTGCAACACACGACGGTCCATTCCGCATTTACATCTTTGCCAATTTTTGCAGAGCGCAGACCAAACTGAGACCGGCCCTTCAGGCTCGTGGGACGTGTTTGTACGACCGCTCCCCATTCTTTGAAAGCTTCCGAACATTGCGCCAGGTGCGCTGGGATGCATTACGGTCAGCGGTCTTGCCTTCTCGAAACCTTTCCGGGCCATCCTCCGCCAGTCACGCGACCGCCACCCGCCAGCGCGACGCCGCCCAACCTGGGCGGCGGACCCGCCAACCGGAGGCACCAACACCACGCGATGTCAACGGCACCGTCCGGCAGCGCCGTCCGATGGCCGCACGGGTGGCGCCATCAATCATGCGGTCAGTGTACGAGCAACGGAGCAACCGCCGTTTGAAGTGCAGGGAGAACATCGGCCCTGTTCAGTCCGGCACTCACGGGCACGCAGGCGCCGTGATAGCCCTGACGCACCTGACAGCGGATGACAAGTGTCTGCGACACGCCGGCCAAGGCGCGCCTTCGCCCACGACGGCCCATTCCGTTGCATTCATGACAATAAGAGCGCCGTGGGGAGCGACCAGCGTGGTCGCTAGCGCGCCGGGGCGCCCGCCCTCCCAATCACCCCTCCCTGCGAACTTCAGGGCCCCGCCTTCCCTGGCACTTCTATCTCGTTGGTTTACCAGCGCCCACGCCCTCTGGCGCCCATCCCACGCCATTTTCACCCCCCCATAAAGCTCCCCCCCCCACTCGCCACCCCCCGCCCGAGGGCAAAGGCCACCGGGGGCGAACTCCGAGGCCGAAACCTCCAAGGCAGCGGACTTTCAATCGAGTTTTCCTCTTCCGATCATCCCGTGAGTGCCGCAGGCGCGCCGCCCCGCCCCCATCGCCCATCCGGAATGCAATTCGCGCGCGTACGTGCGGACGCCGGTCCTCCCGCCGGGCTGCTTCCCCAGCGTTGGAGGCGACCGCGCCCGAAAGTCGAGCGGCGCTGAAACCGCCAGCTTGGGGCCCCTTGCCCGCAGGCGCAGCCACACCGGGGCTGGAATTTTCAAAGACAGGCTGGCCGAAGACTGGCTTCCGGCACCGTCCGGCGCCTTACCGCGCGCCGCGATCGGCAACCGCATTAGGGCCTCAGACCCGCTGGCGGCCGAACCCTTCCCGCCGCATCCGGGCCGTCGACGTGTGTCCGACGGGAGCGGCGCGTCCCCGGCATCGGCGAGCCGCGCATCGGGGAGGTGGGGGCCGCCGATCGCCCATCGCGGCGCCGGCGCCGGTAGGTGCTGATGAGCCGCACGCGCGGCGGGGATTCTCCGGAAGGGCGGCGGGCGGGCGAGTTCGCGGAGCTCGTGGAGAGGATCCAGTCCGTGACGTCGACGCTGGAGTCGGGCGGAGTCGAGGCCGGCGGTGAGCGCGGAAAAGCCGGCTCATGAACGAAAGACGGTGGGGGGGGCGGGGGTGGCTTCGTCACGCATCCTTGAGCATTTTGACAGCGCGGGATGGATATACGCGCGTCCGCACATGCCTGCGTGCGTCAACCGCCGGCGACCTGGCGGCGAGCGTCGGCGCTGCGCTCTCGCCGCGCGAGGCCGCCCGCGGCCCGTGCGAGGGACGTGCCCCGGGATGGTGTTTTTCTGCCCGTCGCGCGGCGAGGCAGTCGGCGCGCCTGGGCAGGGCGGCCCTCCCCGCACCGCTTAGTAGGGGATGACGGGGGCCCAACGTATGCCCGCGCCCCGCCGTACATTAGCGCCGACTCACGTGGGTCGCGGGGGGGTTGCTGGCGCGGCCTACTGACAAAGGCGGTCCCGTCTGAGGTTGCGGCGTTTACGTAATGACGACGTCGTTCGAGTCGGTGTGGGCACCCAATTAGTCGGGATATCTTTTCCGTGAAGATCCCTTCTTGTTTCGGACACCCCGAACCACAGACCCCCTGACCGGCGTTGGCCTTGTCAGCGGAAGAAGAATGATCTTCACGGAGAAGGCAGAGGAGCTAATATATTCTCGTCGGTGTGGGTGTTGTTGCTGCGTGAGGGTGGCGGTCGCCTTGGGGAGCGCGATGGATGGGCTGGGGGCGAGACGAACGTTCTAGATGCCATAGCGTGCTGAATATGGGCGATGCGGGAGCCCAATCGGCTAAGCTATCGGGTATCTTCAATTCAGCTTCCATTACGGAAGCTGAATTGAAGCATGGCGTGCTGCCTCTCCTGAAGAATTGCGGCCCTGGGCTGCTGCATGTACTGCAGTACTGTTGGTTTATTGGCTCAGAGGACAACTCAGAAAATAGAAAATGAAAGAAAATAAAAGATAATGGGAAAGAAATTAGGATAAAAAGAACATTGAAGAGAAAGTACACGTGTTGGTCAATCAGCTTCGCTTCAAAAGAGTCTTTGCGGGGTCAACGAACGGCAGACATTGCCCTTGGCATGTATGTCAGCGGTTGCCTCCACAGGACGGTTCCAGGCCGCATTCCGTATGCAATTATGCCACAATCGACAGTCCATGTGTCCAGACACTCCAGCATTTAGTGCTGCCATGCATTGAAGGCATACTGTCCCTGCGTATGCTGTGCGTGTGCAACGACTATGCTCGTGAAGACAGTCTCGGCGAGTTTGGGATGTGGGCAGGGGCCATCCATCGCTCCCTTGCATTCTGATTGTGGGCATCGGCTGCTTACAGGTCCTGAAGAAGGATCCCACCAAGTAGACAGCATGCAGTGGTGAGCCCCTCCCCCTCTTGCTGCCAAACACATTCTGCTCCCCATTGTAAAGCACTGCTGGAGATGGTTGTGGTGCTCAGGTCATGCGAACTTTGGTCTTCTAAGGTTACTGCAGGAATAGCGCGATTGTTGCTGAGGGCTATACGCATACACCTACTTGTCATAACCTGTGCGCCATCGCTCGTTGCTTTGGCGCCTTCCATGCCAGTGTGCCCGAGCTTCCAAAAACTGCCCAATACCGCCATGTCCGGGCATGAGGGCCATGAAGGTCTTAAAAGCCCTGAAGGATATTTTCGGTTGTGGTCTTAGGGTTTTAGAATTTTCGTGTTATAGGGGCTCTGTGCCCTTCATAACCTCATGACCCCTTTCTTATCTTCACATTTGGAAATGATAGGTAATGGTCAAACCTTGCTTTCCATGTCTCTGGCGCTTCTCCCCGCCCAAAGCAATAACTTCACCGTTTTGCACCTGTTTTTTGTATGAGCAGTGTTTGAGCAGCGCGCAATAGCTGAAATCATGTCTGAATGGGGCCAAAGTTAAGTTGCTACAGCGGAATCGTAACCGCTTTTGGCGTAGTTTTTTTCCATGATCAGCAGTCTTTCAGATCCTTGTGCTATTGCCAACCATCGAGAGGATAGAGGGAACGGCAAAAACCGCCGAAACATGGCCGAAGGGAAAGCGGCAACATGAAAAATTTGGCAAAAAGTAACGGCATGGGACAAAGGACGACAAGAAAAACCTGCCCATTTGCAGAGTTCCTGAATCATTGCTCCAGCTAGCTTTCCAGCGCTGTATCACACCTCCAAATGGTGCCCAATCTGAATGCTGCCCCCGCAAGGGGAAAATGGGGTTGGGGGGGGGCATGCTTTCAATGGAGCCGGCACGTGGCTCTTTTCCAAAGAACAAATGCCGTTGGCGGCCGACGCTGCATGATCAGGTTGGACGATGAGAGCACGGGCAAATTTTTTGGGCCGCCCGGGAACGCCTCTGGCTATCAGCTGGACGTAGGTCAGAGTAAGAAGCGCAGCCGCAGTGTTTTTGAAGGTCAAGCCGAGGAGGGTGTGGATCAGTGGAGCGCGGAGACTGGGGGCCAACCTCCGCCAGAGAAGCTGCGAGTGTACAAGAACAGCCAGCAGCGCTACAGGTGCACATCGACGCTCGCATAACTTGCCGCAAATGATATCTGCATTATTGTATGATGTATATAGACAGTCAGTAGAATGGATAATACCCAGTCAATAAATGGGTATTGGGTTCAACTGTTTTTTCAGACGTGGTGGAACAGAGAACTCTGACGTGTCCAGCGGTGTAGTGATTTGTTAAATTCCCTACATCACACAGTACAAGGGCAAATGAACATATTACCAAATGCACATGTGCACGACATGCATTCATATATGAAAGCCGCAGTTTCCTCTGCAGCCGCATATTGCATTTCTGCGCTGCAGTTCTGGCATCTTTGGGTGTGGCGAGCTTTGCTGATTAGTTTGAGAGCAGGATGGCGACGGGTTGCGAAATATACTTGAAGTACGATGTGTTGAGCGACGGTGAGGCGGTTCCCGAGTTGATCCACGTAATTACGCGAATATCAGGGAGCGCCAGAAAAGGAAGCGAGAGCAAATTGAGGCAATCGCAGCGAGCCTGGAAGCGGAGTCGGCTCTGCTAGAACAAGTGGAAGCTGAGAATGGAGTCCTGCACGCCACGAACTTGAAGCTGGAGGAAACTGCAGCGGAGCAGCGCGCGATGATTGCCTCCCTCCTGGCCCTGCGGCAAAACTCGTCCAACTTGCATCCAGGCAGGCGGTGTGGGCTTGGCTCGCTGTAGCCAGTGGGAGCAGACTCTGAAACACGGTTGCAACTCGGTCTCGTTATCATGGGTTGTGCGCGATGTGCTGCACATTTCAGCAATCCAAGCGTCAAATCGAATTGCACAACACTGCAATTAATGCCCCTGTGCACGCGGCCAGTTTGCTTTGGTCCGCATCCAACCGCACGTGTCCTTTCCCAACCGCGATGCACTGGATGGTTTAGGTATGTGCGCGGCAAAAAGATTTCCCAACGGACAGCGTATCGGTATCACATGAACCCTTTCCTCTGGGTGCCCATATATGACAGAGGCGCGCTCATTGCAGTGTGGTTGTCGGCAAGGTGTTTCGGAACTAAATGGGTAATGTGATACTCGGTAATTCAATTACCGCATTGTGTGATTATGTCACATATTGCCGGTCGTTGTCTTAGCGACGACATTTTAAAGAAATTGATTGCCTTGAAAATGGCACGATAATTGTGCGAGAGTCATGCTGGCGTTGTGTGTTTATAGTTCATATGGAAATCATTGCCTGAGACGTCTCCAATCGTATTATGGAGAATTGTACTACAGCAGATATGTACAATTCATTTTCAATCATTCCTAATCACCAGGCAAAAAAGCACCAAATAACACTTTTTGCGAACATGTATGTATGCATTTCATCAGTGTTCTGCACGCTAAAAGCACGAAAATCACCCAAACCCATAAAATTTTTACACGTTTGAATACGTGTTATTTGACCCTTTTTTCCTAGTGAATTGCCGACAAATGGCTCCAAACTGCATCGTCTTGCAACGGAGCAAAATTGTCTATTAGAAGTCGTGTTTTAGCATTCATTCCACACCATGAAATGCCATTCAAGCATTTCTTTTAGGAATTTGTGGCCAAGCTCGACTCCCTGGCCATCCGGAAACTCACGCGGTCGTCTGTTGTACTGTGGGTGCGATTCCTGCTGGTCGCAGAGACTTCTGGCAACTCGGCAAAAGCCTCTTCTTTTGCAATGTGTTCGGAACGAGACTGTCCGTTGTGTGAAAATTTCTCCTGTTCTGAAGCACGACCTGGGGCACACTGCACCTTTAATTGAAACGAGATCAGCAATCAGTTGGCGCACAACGTAATACTGCTTATATTGCGTTGTGCGCCAACTGATTGCTGATCTCGTCAGAACAGTCGCATTGCAAAAGAGGAGGTCTCTTCAGCTCAACATCAAGTAGGGTGCGGCCTGTGCATGTCCTGGACATGGCTGGTACTTTGAGCGCTGCCGCAATGTTGATCTGCGCGCACACGCAATATCCTGGGCATAGCAAATCCTGGGCACGTGCCCAGAATGTAAAATTTCTTACCGAAGGGCGACGGCGCTGGGATTGGCTGAAATATCGTTGCGCTGTTCTTCCAGGCGACCTCCCGGCTTCTTCAGCTGCCAGCAATTCGGCTCGAGACGTGGAGTCTCAGATTCGAACCCTGCGCGGCGTGCTTCAGGCGAACTCTATCTTTATGGGCGGCATGCAGGCACCGGATGACGTAACCGCGTCGCTGAGGCGCATGCTGTTGGCGTTCGTTGACGCCAGCAACGAAAGCGCCCTGGTCGGCGCGGATGAGGCACCCTGTGCAGGGAGCCGGCTTCAGGGAGCCGCGGAGACGCCGCTGAGCGCGGCGGAAATGGACAAGTGGGAAACGTGCCTGGCCATTTTAAATCTCAGCAGATCTCAGAAGAGCGCCCTGCTGGACCTCAGAGCAGACGTGGTGGAGCGGCTGCAGAGATTGCGTAATGCTGGGCAAGGCGCCGGCAGCAAGGTGGGGTGTGTGTGATGGGGAGAATGGTGCGAATTTTGCTGCATCTTGTGTTCTCAGAGCATCGTGCCTGACAGTGTGCTGTTCTTGTTTCAATTCAAAAGTCAATGTACGGGCATTTTCCAGGGAAAGGTGCCGTTCGTGCACGACAGTTAGCGCCCTCCAATTGCAGATTTTGTCATCTTATCACTCTGCAGCGCTGAGGTGCCTCCTCCGAAAACGCTCATGATGGAACAGCAGGTGAAGAGAATTCCAATTCTCGCCATTAAGAAAGGCTCAAATCGGGGGATTGGGCAGACACAATAACCAGGCTGATACACTAGCGTGCCCAGCTCGTTTCAGAGCTTCCAAGTTACCGTCGCCACGTGGGGTCCTTAGTCATCTTGTTGGGTGACAATGTCCCGGGCCCGCACTCATGGCATCTTCGTTTCATCGCCGGCAAAAGGCACCCCGCGCACCGTTCGCCAAACCAAGCGGTGCCTGCCTCTCCCCCAGCGACAGGTCCCCTGATGCGCTCGTGTCGAAGGGAGGGCGCGCCCGTCTTGGCCTACTCCGCGCCCCCCGCAGGGGCAGCGCCTCGCTTAAGCTTGTCCACCGTAGTATATTCAATACTTACGCATCAGACAATATTGTTGTTGCGCTTTTGCCTCTACATTTTGGTTCCAGAGCGTTCTTTTTTTGTTTTCTTGCGTTGCTCCGCAATATTTTTTTGTTAAAAAACCGGTATTTATTTCATTGTTTTCTCCGCAAAACATGGCCAAGCGTTTCGCTTCTATGCGGAAGTGTTGAATACTCTACGGTAAGCACGTGACGAGAACAGCGGCGCCTTTTCCCGCGGTTGAGATCTCTGCCATACGGCCTCAATACGGAGCGTCGACGCTGTTTCGGCAACACTGTCTGACTCACGCGTGTTGACCTCCATAAGTGCGAATTGGACAAGCGACAAGACATTGAAGCAGAGGGCGTTTGCACGGTTTGAAACAACGCAGACATAATGAAACTGTCAACATAATGTTGTAAAGGTGTCTTGCACCCAAATTTTGAAACTCGTGCAGTTGATAATGAAGCAGGCACATGTTGATTGGCCTGCTGGCCGACCTACCAACTCTGACCCCCAACTGGTCCCGACTGAATTCAGGTTACGGGCTACTCAAGGGAACCCGTTTTCCCACCTCACGCAGCAGACGCCTCCGCGGCATTCCCAGGAGATCTCCACCAGGCAGCGAGGCGCGAGGCGCAGGTGATGGCGGATGGGAAGCGGCAGCTGCTGCTCGCCATATTGGATCCCGTGCAGTCTGCGCTGCTGGCGGTCGAGAGCTACCCTCACGGCGTGGACGTCATCAAGCTCGCAGCGGCCCTTGAAGCCCCTCGCGGGCGCGTCGGAAGAGTCACGGGACCCCCTGAACCTCCGTGCTCTGGAATCTTCTAGGAGGTGGTCTCTGCTTTCGCGTGTGTTCCAATAGCTGCAGGATGCTGTGGGTAGGCATAGCCTCTGTGTTGATGCATGGGGTTGAATCCAGAAGTCGGGTTGCTCACCGACGCGGTTACCTAGTATTGGAGAGCGGAGAGCGGCAGAGAGCGGTGCGCATCGAGGCTGTTCCAGGGATAGCTGCATACTCGGTCGTCGCGAACTCCCTGATGAAGATTGTCGAGGATTGTAGGCTGCATGATTGTAAAACACAAAAATCTGTTGTGCGGTCTTTGCCTGACAGCCTGCGATCGACCCTTTAAATTTGTCGCCCATCCCAAGCCGCCACAATTGTGGCTCTTGTACAAGAGTCGATAAAGCTGGCTCTACAAATTCACTGATATCTGTTTCTCACCCCATCAATGGTAGCACGGAAATGTGGCACACAACCTTGTACATACAGTTATATTATTGCCTTGAAATTCCCATGTTCATGTGCATATCCATGGGAACATTGGAACATGGGACGATCAACCCTATGCTTCTATTCCTTGCCCCTCTTCCACATAAAGTGCAGGCCTGAACTTTATCATGGTTAGTCAGTATTTGGCCCTGCGGCTGCGTCCGCCAACGAAAGCATAACAGCAAAACCATGCTAATGGTCTAAACAGGGCCGCAGACAACGATATACATCGTGCGTCTCGCTTCAAAGCACGTTCTGAAGTGATTCCGCAGACGACATTGTGGGCTGCAGTTTTGGCTGATTTTCTTTCTTCAAAACATAATAAATTGGCACCACACCATAATGTAATGATGCTGAGTCATCCTGGCTTCGACATAAGGATTGACGCTAAGAAAAGGTGTGTGTGGGGGTGGGGAGGGTGTTCTGAGCTTAACGTCAAATTGACGCTAAGCGTAACAGAACCGACATAGCGTCGTCCATTACAAGGGTTACCTGTTGGTACTGCGGACATACAGAGCATTCGGTGGTGCGGCGATTGGCTGGCATTTCTCTGATGGATTCAATGGGAAAGTTCCTGTGTACTCTGTTCTGTAGCTTTGTATTGCATTTCAGCACCGAAGTTCTGCAATCTGCAAACATTCCGCAGAATTTCTCGTTTCATGGTCCCACAATGGCACAATCTGTGAGGAAACAGGGGCATGAGGCGACCTCTGCATGCATACATGCACAGTGACGCCCTTGGGCGACCCTTGCGTCACCGCGCCTGTGTGCCGCGGCGATCCCAGGAGCGTGGTCTGCATCCGTTGCGTCACATCACAGATGATGGACTTGAGCGCAACTCGTGTGGGGTGGTTTTCACACAGCAGCCGCTACATACACTGCATGACAAGTTCCCAAAGTTCGATAATCCCAGATATGGGCTGGCGTTTTCTGTTCGCGGTGTGATCCATCAGTCGATTGCCACCCTGCAGTCCTCGCTGCGGTGCCGTGGTTCTCCAAAATGGGCACATTGCCATCGCCATCGCTACTGGCCAACTGCAGCCACTAGATCCTTTCAAACTGCCAAAAGACGCCGACACCAATGCAAATGTCGCCCGAATGTTGCTGCGCAGGCTGTGCTCCAGCGGCGCCCCTGTATTTCATCAAAGCCAGTCTTCCACTTTCGTTGCAGTAGGCCCGCCCAAAATTCCAAGATGACGGAGCTGCCATTGGAGGATGTCAATACCGCCCTCAAATACAGTCCAAAGTCTAGGTGGCATGGCAAGCGTCCCCAAGCGCCGACGGACCCACGTCATTCCCGCCCCTGTGCAATTATACCAGCAGGGCTGTAATGACCTAGGACTTATCATTGCCAGAACAGGAGATTTTGACGGCTTTTCCTCATGGCCCGCGACTCCATGAGGGCCGACACATCGCACGCCGCACCCACCACCCGCCACCCACCACAGCCGGCCCCGGCCACCTTCCAGTACTTAATGCACGCGACGCTGTCATGACGGGATGCATTTGACAAGGGATGGGAGGGCACAACGTTGTGTGGAGAGCCATGACACCACCAGCAATGACGCGAACGCGCGAGTGGAACAAGGTTGCGGCGAAGGCTCTCGTACGGAGGGCGGCGCCCGCGACTTTAACGGCGCGCGGCCGCCAGTCGCGCGGAAGCCCCCTGGAGCGGGCCCCCAAGACGCCGGCTGCGGACGTCCGATCTGCCGGCAGCAGCGGGGCTGCAATTTCGGGAGCTACGGTTTTGGCAGCTGGGCCGACGCCGGGGACGAGGAGGAAGGTTGGGCGTCGGAGGCGGGACAACCGGTGGGCATCGCGGGGGGGGAGCGGCGGTTCGGGATCGGACGTCAGCCGCGCGGAAGGCGGCGAGCGAACTGGAGGGCGCGCCGTGCGCGGAAATGCAGCGCGCGAGCTGTTTGCGCCAGAGGCGTTTCCGTGCCTCTCTGCCATCCCCGCCGGTCGGTGGGTGGTGTTGTCTTGCGCAACTAGTGCCATCCAGGCCAAGTCCAATGCCGTGGTTGTCGGCAGCGTTTCTTTCCCCGGTCCCAGAGTCCGGCTGCGGCAGACGAACGGGTTTCGAATCTCTGTGCCTGTGGCAGTCTCATGGCGGAAAAAGCGCTGACGCCCTTCCCGAACGCCCATTCTGACGCAGGTGCCTTGCGGAGATCCCCCTGGTGGCCACCTCGGACCCACCGGGAACGACGAGGGGCACGGGCGGCGATTGACTGTTCCCGAATATATCACCGAGATGGAGCACGGCACACTGTTGCCGAGGCTGGAGGGAGCGCCGCGGACGGCAGCCGTGGGGTCCACTAGCGCCGCCGGGCAGAAAGAGTCGAAAGGGAAGAGAAGCTACCAGTCACTGTTGGAGCGGGTCGCCCCGCGGCCGACGTCGCTGGCCTGGAAAGGTGGGCCCGGCACCCGCCCCGCGCGTGATCATCCTTGCCTGCGTACTTGAGGTTTCCGCGAGTCTCTGCGCAGAGCCTGTGTGGGAAGGGGGTATGGCCATGGAATATGTGTTTTACCAGGGAACAGCCGATTTGTACTCAATACCATTGGAAGGGGGTACGGCCTTGATATCGGCCATCCCACCGCCACCCCCCATCTTGCCACCCTGTGGTTACCAGAGCGGCGCATGCGCCGCTGTCTCACACAACGCGCCTTTGGAGGCCGCGCCCGCCTGCTCTGGCGCCGCACGGGTGTCGCGCCAACGGTGGGGCCGTGGTGCATTTTCGAACTCTGCCTGTTGGTGTGGCTCCAAGGGCGTGGAGGTTTGGGGGGGTGGGGTCTGGGCCGTCGCATTGGGGTTTGGGCCCCGCCGCAGGTGCCGCAATGTTGCGGTTCAGCTCCGTGGGGAAGACAGGCGCGTCGGAAGGTGGTCACCGCGCGCCCCTGCGCTGCCGGTCGTGGCTGGGGCTCAGCTGTTCAACCCACGCCCAACCGCACAGTCGCAGAGCTGCGACGCTTTCCGACCACAGTGAAGGAGCCCGCAGCAGGCTCGGAAGCGGTTAGGGCAGGTGCTGACGGGATCTGCGTGTCGGGCACCGGCACGGGAATTGGAGCAAAAAAGCAGGCCGCAGATTGCCGCATTACTGACTGGCAATGACAGGCAATTGCCAGCTTTGGACACCGAAACAATCGCGCGGCGTGTGGCGAGCGGGCGGTGTCCACGCCCTTGACGGCGCTGCCACGCCCTCGGACAGAACGCTGTACTTTAGGCAGGGTGTTTGCCTTCTCGGACGGATCTCGACTATTGTCGTGGCAGTGACGCAACAGTCGTGACGGCGGTCATGGAGGCGGGTCGCGCTTGCATCAGTCCCCACAGCGTCGCGGGTCTTTGACAGCGCGCCAGCAGATTGGCCGATCAACAAATTTATGCGTCAATTGCATCCAGGATGCGCAACGATGTCTTGCGGTGGACTGATTTGTGCGATTTTGTACCACTGTGCCGGGACTAGGCGGATTTTCTAAGCTCGAGGAGCTTTGCTAATTTTGCGTTATTTCGTTTGTCGTGTTCGATTGTGGAACTGCCTCCACCGACATGTGCCTCTCAGTTGGGTGCCGGAATATGCTTTTCTTTTCCATTGTGATATGTGATCTCGTGCCTGGAAGTGAACCCCCCCAATCGACTTTTTGGTCAAAGATTCAAACCAGTTCTGAAGTGGAATAATCGCGCATGTGGTTGGGCGGAACCGTTGAGTGGCAAGTGCACAAGAGATTAATTTGACCTTTACATGGGCTGATGCCAGTGTGTGGGATGCCACCAGACGCCAACAGCACTGCACCACGCACACATGGGCAGCCTGCTCGCCGGTGAGTCGTCCGCACCCAAAATGTTGGCGACATGTGCATCGAGGGTGTGCATTAAGCGTCAAACTTGCCCAAACTAAAGGAGCTGTATTGTCAGGGCGACAAGCAAAATTGCTTTTGGAAACCTAAGAGGAGACGCTATCTCGATTTTATTACGCTTAGCGTCAATTTGACGTTAAGCGCAGACACCCACCCCCACCACCACCCCACCACCAACACACACACACACACGGTGTGTGACACACCGTGGGTGAATACTGCGCATGATATGTGGACCAACAATGCCCTTTCCTGTTTTGCGCCTTGTGTTTTTCCGGGGCTCCCTCCTATAGCGCCTGCAATATTGGTGGAAAAGGATGGGTTTGGCTGCGTTATTTGTAATGTCATCTTAACCCACCCACCCCACCCACCCTTAGCGTCAATGCTTTTGTCAAAGCCAGGATGGCTCAGCATCATTACATAATGGTGTGGGCCAATTTTTTATATTTTGAAGAAAAATGCAGCCAAAACTGCAGCAATTTAAGTGGGCTGAAAACTGAGGTGCAAAATGCCATAGCAGATGATGGTGGGCAGTTTTGAAGGGCGCCAATCGAGATTTTATGGGGCTTTTTGTGAAGACTGAGCGCCGAAGGGGAGTTTTGAGACAAGCCATGTTCCAAATATGGCATGCATTACTTTTTCGCACGCTGATTGCCATGTACCGCGGCATCACATTCATTGATGTCATTCACTGCCGTTGAGACGATCGTTGGTCCAGCAGGCAAGATGGCGCAACTGGGAAAACGTCCCCCACATACGCCCACAGTGGACCCGAATACAGCAGTGAAGGGAAGCGAGAGGAGAGCTGTAAGAGAAGCAAGATGGATCGCGCAAACAACCAGCTCATCCTTAGCAGACTGAGCCAGGATCAATGCAGGTGATTCCTTTTGCCCGAGCGGCATCAGCACTCTCGAGCTTGCAAATTAGTGAATATATCTTCGTTCGATATCGAATGTGGAAAATTGCTGGCAGCCATTCGTGAAATTGAAGGCTTCAATCTTTGAAGCAAAAGGGAGTTCTAGCGTTACTGACTCCACACCTATTTTCCATTTCTTGGTAACAATTTTTTCACTTCTACTTCTTGCACATGGGCGGAATTACTTCCTTTCCTGCTAGATTTGTGCCAATCTTGTGGAAGAAAATAACACAACACTGACGGCTTGTGTTAAATCCCAGGGAGCGGATGAGGAGCATGAGGACCCCAAGAAGAAGGACCGCAGACGTTTCAAAGGATGAAGGCATCTTCTTGCGAGGAAGTGCATCTGATGATGCCAATTTGAACCCATCAAGCAATGGAATCGCAAATTTTCTGGAAGATCGACCGACGTTGTTGACTTCAATAGACTCGGGGAGATCCGATGCAGAGCGCTACGATCCAGGTGATTTTTTGACTGAATTCCTTTCTCAAAATTTCCTTTGGAGAACAAAGATGGGGCCATGAACCTTCCATGCCATGACGGGGCATTTAGGCATCAAAAGCGTTGTTCTTTCCCACATGCGGGGACTTCCTGTCTATGTGAAATGTGTTTCGTGTATTGATTCGAAAAATTCCCAGGAGCAGAAGTGATGAAGTTGTGTTGTATTGCAATTTCCCAGACTCGAACTTCGAGCACAGATGTTGGGCATGTCGCCTTGCTCCAGCTAACGTCCAAGAATAGCGGAAAAATTGAAGCGACAGATCTGCACTTCCAGGAATTTAAACCTAAATCTGCGGGGACGTGACATTACACATCATATCAATGCAACTTGTTCGCTTTCAATTCCACCGCTCAAACATTTGATGGATCCGACACCGCTTAGGACCGGGTTGATGCATGTGAAATTCTTGCCAATAAATTTGCGAAAAGGAAAGATAGTATGGCGCACTGATACTTAATCGCGGTTGTTTCCCCAGGTGGTCCAACTAATCCTCGCATGTCAGAGATCAAGCAAGCTAACGCACCGGAATCGCCCACTAAGTGTCTTGCCCTGCGATTCACCGCTTCCGGTCTGTCAGATGAGGCGCCAGCAGGAGCGGAAAATTGCGCCACGGCAGGGCAGATTATGAGGGAGATGGACGTGCAGGTATGCAGAGTTTCCGAAACGGATCCCTTTTGTGGAACGCGGCGACTGGCCGTTGAGCTCGCGATAGCGTCGGTGCGTTCGCGAATATTATAGATGCAGTAAAATTTTGGAAACATGTGTTGGATAACATGGACATATTGCGAAATTTCCTTGGGAACTTCCCCGAAATCGGGAATGCCCAGATGTCTTGTAGGCGGCGAAATGTTGCTCGCGCGATATGTGTTTTGTCCAAAGTATTCCTGTTGAACCAAGCGGACCACATAAGAAAAGGCGTAGAAGAATTTGTGTAGGTCGGTCCGCGTGAATCCCTAATGAAGACAAGGAGAATTGGAGCACGCGGTAAATTGAGAAAAGCAGGTTTTGGCAGCGCGACTCGCCTCAGAGAAATAGGTCAATGCGACTCAAGCTGCGTTATACACAGCACATGCACAGCTTTGTGACCAAATTTGAACAAACGGACGATTGAGCATTTATGGCTGTTGCACGAGAATGTCACTATAATTTTCGAAGAGCTCCACGTTTTTTCGTCTTTCAGAAATGCCACGGCATGCACTAGTGAAAGCGGCGCCAAGAGTGCTGAGCAAGCGAAGAATTTCCGACAAATGTGGCACGGTTTCGTGCCGTCGTCAGCAAAAGCAGAATATCTAACACAGCAAAGAAAAGTTCGAAGAAGAGTATCCAATAGATTCACGAAATTGAAATGGCGCCAAGTGGCTGGACGCATCCTGACCAATGCCCCATTCGAATCATCCAGGTGCGCACATTGCGAGGCATCCTGGCGGCAGACCCCGCACTCGCGCCGGGAGGCGACGCAGGGGAGGCTGCCGCGGGCGTCCTCAGCTGCACACTGACCGCCATCACCGACATGGCCGCGAGGCTCGTCAGGCTGAGGGTGCCCAGCCCTTCCGATCTGGCGAGGAGCTGCGTGGAGGCTTGCCGGGTGGACCTCAGCGCTGAAGAGGTCTCCAGGTGGCTGGCGTGCCTGGGGCAGATGGGAATGACTGACGATCAGATGGCGTCGACACGGGAGGCAGTTTCGACCCACCTGAGCCATCTCCAGGAAGTCTACAGGAAAAGGTCTGACATCAACGAGAAGGTGAGATGCCGCGAGCGTCCTATGAGGCAAACAGAACCGCATTTAATGGCTACTGCCCGCATCTCTCTGCTCCTGCCTGTTCGTAGACCATGGGGAAATAATGGTGCCATGGGCGCCCAATGGTAAATGGTACATTGTCGCTCGAACAGCCACAGCGAGTTTGGAGAAGATTCTCGTCCTCTCTTTCTCCAGCCCTTCTGTCACCAGCGAAACGAATGCCGTGGCTACTGGGTTCAGCACGGACACGTGACATGACTAAAGTGTCCAATTTTTATATTGCCAGTAAAGGATGCTGATGCATTCAATGCCGTGGCTCGCGCAGGCGAGGGAAATCCTGCGGGCCTCGGGAGGCGACTCCGCCGTCCTCCGCAGGAGCAAGGCGCTGGTGTGGGACCGCCTGATGGACAACGTCCGCCAAGAGCAGCAGGTCGCCGTGGACGGCCCGCGCCACTTGCTCCTCAGCATCCTCACCCCTCCTCAGGCCGCGCGCCTGATCGTGGAGATGCATCCAGGAGGAGTCGACATGGTGAAGATGGGGGTCGCCCTGGCCGCGCTGGCGTGCGGCGGCGACGGGGGCCAGAGCGATCCAGAAGAAGGGTACCAAGCGCGGGCGGCATCTCTGGCATGAGAGAAGGGAAGCACGTCCCGAAATTTCAGGGCGGGATGCAATAATGATGCAGCGTGTGGCTGGTGCCGTGTAGAGGGACTGCGGTGCTTGCGGGGAGGCGTTCAAGCAGTGCTGGCACCAGAGCCAAGGTTTGGGAACGCTGATGCGTGACAGCTGGCGGGCGCTCTCCATGGGCACTTGAATGGCCTATATTCGCTGAAGGCCACTGCTGCTGCATCAAATCCCCCCAATCTTTCAGCTGCCATCGACCGTTCCGGGGTAAGCGTGGTAAGGGAACGTGTGGCTCTGCCTTCAGCTTCGACATCAAGAGCGAGGCTCGCTGCCGACTTCCTTCCATCTCCTGTCGAAACAGAGCTTCAGAAGTCTGGGCCGTTTACCTCGAATGTAAGCTCTCGGGGATTTTTGCGTGGCTGTGGGCAGTTGCAGCTTGGTTGCTGCGACTATCATTCGACGTGAAAATAAAGAGGCAGGGATCAAGCGGAGGGCGCAGCTGTGTACAACAAATGAGATTTGTTGAGATTTCTTGATTGGAAAAGCTTGACTGGACGATTCTTTCCGACTCTTTTGGGGCTTCTGTATTGATTGTTGGGAACATTGCTCTAAATCAGGGAACGCCTTCTGCGGGTGGCGCGACTGTAGAAGGACGAATGTGCTAAGGGAGTGGAACTCAATTATGATAACAATCTGCGGCACTTGCTTTATCGCGGTGTTGCACTTGTTGGAAAGTGGCCTCCCGTTCGAAATGACTGGAGCACTGAGCGTTCATAGAAATATCGAGAGAGCGCAGCGGCCTAGAGGGCAAGGGAGAGCGCTGAAAGCATTTGAGAATATGGGACAACCTGAAGTTGTGGTTGAGAGCGCTGGACTGGATGCATCTCATTGCGCCCACTGTTAAACCTATAAGTAACAGGTTTGTTGATCCCAAACGAACATAACAAAGACGATTGCCGAACGCTCTAGCCCCTGGAGTTTCTTTGTGAGAAAAGGCTGTCTTTTGGGATGAGCGGCGGTGATGGCGACATCCACACACATCCCACGCTCCGCATCTAGCTATGCGTGGCATGCCATGCATATGCTTCATGGATTATGACGAATGATGCAGTCTAGAGCCATGTCTCTTGAAGGACCTCTGTCCAAAAATTCGATGACCTTAGACATGCTTATGCAGGAAGTAGACACACCCGCATCCTACTCGACATCCAGGATGTGGAACTAACGATGCTGATAATGGGTGTCTGGCAAGAGGCCACTTGAAGTTAGCTACGGCCGCCCCAGAACCCAGCGCTTGTGATTAAGTCACTGGTCCCCAGGCAATTCGCGAGTCCGAATGCAGTGCCAATAATAAACATAATTGAAATCATCATCATTGTGAGGGCAAGTGAACGGTTAATATATAATACATGATATATGGTGTGTTTTTGATGGTGGAAAGTAAATGTGGTGGACATGGTGTTATGGTGAAAATACATGGGGACAATGGAGATGGGGAATTATTGCGGTGATTGGTATTTAGTCAATACACTCATTCTGTAATGCATCCGGCTACGGTTTTGCTTCCCGTGCCTGGGAGCGACTGTGTGCGAGTGTGTGCGAAAGAGACCGGTCAACTCGATATGGTTTCGGAGCCGGGAACGAACCCTGGGGGACCAGGTGTCCGATGGCGGCGTGGGAAACGCCGCCATCCCGTTTTTCAATCCCCGAGCGCCGCCATGGTTTTGGCGGTGCTCGGGGTGGTGGTGTTGTGGGAGGCGATGGTGGACTTGAGGTGCCGGGTGGAGGCCACAGAGTGGGATCGACATGGCTCTCTCCAAGCGGCCATGGTCGGGTGGAGGGATGGAGAATGGAGGCTCAGGGGATTGGCGTACCAACGGCCCGGGCATCCGATGGCGTGGATGCCGGGCCACGCCCCTAACCCTACCCCACTCGGGATGGGGGCTGCGACCTTTCTGTTTCCGGGGGCAGCGACCCGCCGACTGGCACAGCAGGGGCGGCCACGGATTGTGCGACGAAGGAAGCGGCGAGGAGACGATTGGAGGCGCAGGATGACGCGCGTTGAGCGGCGGGGTGGGCGAGTCGGACGGGTGCAACTGAACGAGCCATTGGCGAGCGCGGAGCCCATTGGAGCGTCATGGAGGCGATTCGATGCGGCCGGCCAGCAAGCCGTGACGATAGGCCCCCGACCGGAGGCACCGCGGCGACCGGTGGAGCTGATGGAAAGGCGCAGCACGGCGATGCCCGCGGGGGATGGCGGGGACCCATCGATTCGGAGCACGGAGACGGACCCGGCGGAAGGGCGGACCCCTTACGATTCAACGGACCGGCGGAGCCAGCGCGACTCGGCGGTCTGGAGAGATCCGCACGGCTCGGCAAGTGCTACGAAGGGAGCCACGGAAAAAGCATGGAGATGGCTTACCGGCCACTGGCAAGTGATGGCCGCAGCATGGCGGCATGGCGGGTCCCTCGCGGACGACGGCGGCTCCTCTCCGTGGACGGCAGGTGGGCACGCGCGAGCGTGGGCCGACGGCGGAAAGGTGGGGTGGCGGAACCCGGGGGGGGCGACCTCGGAGGCCGGTGGGGACCAGGAGCGCGGGGGAGGGAGTGATGTCAGTGCGGGGGGCAATGCAAGCGGCGGGGGGGACGGTCAGGGGTTAGTCACCCGAGACGGGGGCGGGGGCGGCTTCTGTCCAGCCGCGCCACCTTCGGGTGGCAGCGCCCGGAGGGGCGGAGGGGGCGCGATCGATCGCGCTGTCCATTACAGCAACGGGTGTCACCAGACCCGTTTTCCTGTCAACGGGGGAAATGGTGGGGGGTGTGGGGGAGGGGGATGTGGCGCAAAAAATGCAAAAGTGGAAAAAAAATGTGGGGATTTGCTTGGTGGAAGGTCAAGGGAAGGAGAGGGGGGCTCCGGGCGAATGGAATTAAGGGGCGATTTTCGCCTTGGTGTGACTGTTATAAGGCACAAAGTACTGGACAAAGGCAGTTTTTATAAAGAAAATGAAGGTATCACCTGTATTGGGGCCAGAAATGCCAACTGTGAAGAGGAGACCTCTAAGCACCGTAGTGCCAGTCAGAACCAGCCCCAATTTCCCATCAGCCAGGAGAAGGGTGCAGTAGTTCAGAAAGGGGGGAGTCAAGACCAACGGCCGGTTATTGAGCAGTTGTTGCTCATTGGTGGTGTGGAACGGAACCCTGGCCCAACCATGGATGGGGGTCGGGAATTTCTGACTACACTCACACAGGAAACCGTTACATGGATCTTTGACGCCGCAGTTTGGGGGGCCAAAGGCGAGAAGTTTAGTGACCGCGTACGGGCGTTGTTGAAGCAATTCCGGCCGGGTTCGATGCCACACCGGAGGATCGCCCATCTCGCCACAGCGATTCGTGATACGAGGGGGGAAGGGGTTACCGAGAAAACCCGCTGGGAAGAGTTGGTCAAGCAGGTCCGCGCCCTCCTCCCCCATAATGCGTTATCACAGCAGGACCACTTGGCGCGCATGTCGCGCAAGTCACACGAGCCATGGATTGATTTCATGGACCGTTATTGTCTTTATGCGGAGACATGTAGCGACGTGACGGATCAAGTGAAGGCTGCAGAACTATTCCGTAAGCTCCCTCGGGAGTTGCGGATTCAGCTCAGTCATGTGAAGCATGACGCAACGTTGGCGAACTTATTAGAGGCAATCCGTGGGATTCGGTATTGGTCGCACTGTGCGAATGACAAGACAGTGCTCTTTGACCCCATGGAAGTTGACAACAACATCCGACAGTCCTCAGACCCTTGGGCGCTTGGCACCGCCCAGGATGACCTTGCGGAGGATTACGGTTTTCGATACGGCGATGGTCGCACACGGCGTCCTGTTCTCCGCGGTGACACTATTCAGTTCAAGAACATTGACGGCCCTCGTAGTCTTATGACTGCTTGGAAAAAGCTTGTCAGTACTTCCGCCAGTCTTCGCCGGGAAGCCAAGTCATACCTCTCGCGGGGTCGTCGGTGGCAGGGGCGTGGTTTGCGCGACCATGAGGTCGACTACCGCGATGGGTTAGGCGACGAATCGTCCATGGAAGATTGGGGGGCCTCACGCCAGCCCAACGTCTTTCAGCGTCTCGAAGACAATTGGACTTTCGACGATGGCGAGGGTGATTTTTGGGCGCCGCCGGATCCGCAAGACACTTTTTATGACTGCGAAGCATCTCCGCTGGACAAGGGCTTAGCCCCAGGTGAACATTGCTGTCAAACTTTTGTTGTCCCTGAGGTATGCCGCGCGGTGCATAAGAACCCCAAGAAGTCCCTGCATGTCCGTGTCAATGTTGAGGGGACCGAGATCGTGGCTCTAGTCGATACGGGCGCTACCTCTTGTTTCGTGCAGCGCACCTTGGTGAAAAAGCTCGGATTGTGGAACCGTGTGCAGCCGTGCCAGCACCAAGTCCGGTATGGTAATGGCAAAGAGGAGCCCATGATCGGGGCCGTCACCCTGCCAGTGACAGTCCAAGGCGCAGATATGCCCATGAAGGCATATGTTTTGGATGGCAAGGGCCCTCCCCTCATCATGGGTTTCACGTTTCTTGAAGCCAATCAGTTGTTAGTTGACTGCACTCAGCGTACCCTCATCCAGAAGACCAGTGGCGATCAGGTCAAGTGTCTTCCAGTTCAAGATGCTTGTCAGCCTACCCATTTGCAGGGAGACAGTCTTGTGGTTCAGCGGTTTCCAGTGGATGGTTGTTTGCCACCACTCCCCAAGAAACATTTTTCGGGGGATGCGGCGTATGACTTTTTTGCACCCAAAGAGCTTTGTCTTCGCCCCGGTGAACGCATCACCGTTGACACTGCAGTCGCTTGCCATTTCCCTCAGGGGACTTGGTGCTTGCTGAAAGAACGATCGGGCCTTGCTCACCGCTATGGCATCCAACTCTTGGGCGGGGTTGTTGACGGGAACTATCGTGGTCGCCTCAAGGCGATTCTGCTGAACACCGGGCAGGAGATGGTCACTATTCCTCGCCAC